GTGGACTTCAATTCCCAGAATTCCCCAGCTAGCATGCTTTAAGATGTCTGGATTTCAACTCCCAGAATTCCCCAACCAGCGTCCCTTAAGATGGCTGGATTTCAACTCCCAGAATTCCCCAGCCAACATACTTTAAAATTTCTGACTGGTGGGGGAATTCTGGAAGTTGGAAGTCGACCGGTCTTAAACTACCAAGGTTGGACCTCCCTCTTTTATGAGGAGCCAAGACCTTCCTTCCCAAACCCACTTCCTTCTCCCTCCACACAAACCCCCCCCCCCCGAACCTGGTTACACAATTAACCCACTCTCGAGATCCCTACCATCTCTTAAATCCAGTTTTGTATCAACCCAACAGGCCAGGTTAGAAGAAAACAACAACCCTGAATTAACACTAATCCAGTTTAACAGGCTGTACGAAGGTAACCACTGAAGGCTAAAATGACCTGGTTGGATGCAGTGTGAGAATTCAGATATTGCGTCCAGTCCTTGTGGGTTTCACGGGCAGAAGTCCAACCATGACCCAGGTCTCTCTTTTCCCCTTGTAGGTGGCCATACCAAGTGTGCCCGCCTTTCTGGACATCGCAGGCCAGTTTGACGTGGAATACTATCTCACCGTGGCGTGTCGGAACGGTAGCGTTTACATTCTTCGCAGGTATGTGGTCCCACCAGTGGCAAAGGGGCTGTTCTGCAGCAGACAGTAGGTGAAAGCCCATTCAAGCCAATGCTCAGAGCATCCCATAATAAGCATGACATTTCATAATTGGTGTAAGCTGGCCATATTGTGTGAGATTGTGGCAGACTGGGAAAAGAATGGAAGGGAAAGCGGACAATAAATCAAGAGTTTCACCACCTCAGCAGCTTGAAGATGGTTGGACTTCAATTCCCAGAATTCCCTAGCCAGCCATGGAATTCTGGGAGTTGAAGTCCACCAGTCTTGAAACATGCTGGCTGAGGAATTCTGGGAGTTGAAGTCCAGGCATCTTTTAAAGTTTGTTGGCTGGGGAATGATGGGAATTGATGTCCAGATATCTCAAAGCATGCTGGCTGGAGAATTCTTGGAGTCAAAACCCATGTAAAGCATGCTGTTGGAGAATTCTGGGAGTTGAAGTCCAGACATCTTTTAAAGTTTGTTGGCTGGAGAATGATGGGAATTGTTGTCCAGATATCTTAAAGCATGCTGGCTGGAGAATTCCATGCGTCTTTAAAGTTGCAAAGTTTGAGAAACTTTCGCTTCTAGCCTCCTTGTCGATTGATGAGAGGTGCTTGGATAGATTTTTTTTTTTTTTTTTTTGCATTTTCTGCCCAATTGGAACCGTGCCCCCTGTTCTATTCGGGTCTTCGGGCTGAATTTTTTCCTGTTTTTTTTTTCTCCTCCACGTAGGGATTCCAAACGGCCCAAATATTGCATCGAACTGAGCTCCCAGGCTGTGGGTTTGGTTCGAGTCCAGAAGAACATCATGGTGGCTTGTTCAGATGAGACGCTACGAGGCTACAACCAGAAGGTTAGGGGTAGCGAGTTGTGCCCGTAGGCAAGTTGTTGCTGCAAGGGTGCATGTTTGCGCTGAGCTTGGCGGCTCTCTTAGTCCGGCGTACCGTGTGAAAAGCAAATCAAATCTCCCATCCGAACTTATCCAGAATTTATAGCAGCTCGATTCCCTTGTGATTTAATTTAATTTTTCCTCAAAAAAATTAGAGTACAAACTTTAAACAGGAAAAATGTTCACAAAGACGAAACAAAACATTAAAAAGGGGACATATACCTATGCAAAAAACAGATATACGTATATTGTGCTCCCTAGTTGAATCCTGATAGATGTATTACAACAATAAGTTTCCACCACCACTACCCTTGCAAAACAGGCTCACAATTGATAAACTTCTACACCTCTGTTTGCAGCTATGCAGCAGCTAGATTTCCAAGAAATAAATCCAGATAGTCCTCAATTTATGACCAGTCGCTAGTGAGGATTTTAAGTTATGGTGGGCCTTTAAAAAGCTGTTAAAGACCCATCCTCGAAGTTATGACTGAGACAGACACACACACACACCTGCGGTCGTGTAATGGTCTGTGGGGCACTTGGCAACCGGCTTACCTTTTTCAACTAGTTGTAGCCTCCCTCAGTCACATCACCACAATTTAATAGTTTCCTTGCCAGTTTCCTATCCTTTTCTGCCCATTTTCTAGGGAGGGAAAAAAAAACCAAACACACACACACCATTCAGGAGAATGGATTAACTGAAGGACTGCATGGACTGGCTTTTCCACTCTTGCTGTAAAATTGAGTGCACTGGTGGGTGGCTCAATTTACGACCACGACTCAACCGATGTCTCACTTAACGGCAGAAATCCGGGCTCCGTTGTGGTGGCGAAGTCCAAAGACTGCCTGTTATATTCTCCCACAAAGCCTTGAACGAGCCTGCAGAGGGCAGCGTCGCTCTGCCCAAACTCTTCCCGGAAGCCAAGGAATATAGAGTAGCAGAGTGAGAAGGGGCCTCGGAGGTCATCTAGTCCTAGCAGGAGACCCTATGATTTTCTGACATTTCCCCACCCCCACCCCCACCCCATCTTCTCGTTCCAGGGAAAGAAGCTCTGGACAGTGACGTTGTCAGCGGCCCCCGTCACTTTGGGCCTCATGGATGAGAAATTGCAAAGCTTCCAGGCTGTGTTGGTGTCGCTGGCAAACAGGGAAATCCATGTTTTCCGGGACAAAAACCTTGTCAATGTCATCCAGGTGCCGGTAAGAGTCCAAATTTTGTGGGAATATTTGTCAAAATCCTGTCAAGCTAATGCTAATCCCCACTTCCTGTGCTTCAGCCTAGCCTTCCTTCCATCTCTTTGCTCATTTCAGGAATTAACATTACAGGTTGTCCGAACCAGGCCTCAAATTTATATACCGCTACTCATGAGCAGTATACTCCTTGACTCCTCATTTAGTGACCGTTTGAAGTTACCACTGAAAAAATGACTGGCAACCGTTTTTCCACTCTCAAAAGACAGTTGTAGCATCCCCTGTGGTGCCTGGATCAAAATTCAGACCCTTGGCCGCTGACTCGTATTTACGACGGGTCCCGGAGGTCACACGATCCCCTTTTGCGACCTATTAACAAGCAAAGTTAATGGGGAAGCCAGATTCACTTAACAACCTGTTGCTAACTGAACAATGGCAAGTGAGTCACTTAAGGACTGTGGCAAGGAAGTTGGTGAAATAGGGCCCAACCCATTGAACAGATGTCTTCATTTAGCGACAGAAATGTTGAGCTCAGTTGTGGTCGTAACAGGTTGGCTTAGCGATCTTCCGATTCACTTAACCACCGTGGTGATTCGCTTAATGACCACCAGAAAAAACAAAGGGTGCATTTGAATTGTATCGGGATTGTATTTACCCCAAATTGAAAGAGTGATTAAAATACTGATAGAGGGAAAGATAATTGGAAAAATATTTGAATGTGCAGAAATGAATAGATTGACACTAGAAATTAAGGAAAAAGAAGAAACTGAATATTACATGGTATGGAATATGTTCTATCAATGGATAGAGAATAGAACAACCTAAAAAAAAGATTTGATGTATTTATAAAGCAATTAGAGAAATTTAAGCAAAGTGATAATGTGTGATATTATTATGTATATGTGTCAGAGTATATTTATGAACTGGAATAGAGCATGGTAACAAGGTCAGCCAATGAACAGGCAAAGCAACTAAGTCAGCCAATGAGGACAGTTTGGAAACTGAAACTAGAAATAGTCTAGGCTGAAAACTGAAACTAAAAGTAGCTTAGGCGTGGCTCTATATTAAGTTCTGCAACTCGGAAGCTGTGTAGAGCTTTGAGTCTGTCCATTGAAGATGAAATTAATTTGACTGGAGCTCTGCTCTGAATTTGCAACATATTTCTGTTTGAGTTTGCTCCATGTTGGAGAAATCTACAACTGGTTTGTAAAATCTACTTATTATGTTTATAAAGATGTTAAATGAAGCATCAGCCATCTGCGTTTATTTTTCTGGTGCTGAATTATCGCTGCAAAACTCAATAATATGGGAATATATATGGGAACATTGATGTATTGTTAGATTTGATAAGAAGACTTTCATTTATAATGCTTAATTGAAATAGGTACCCAAGTCGACGCACAATTGAAATGGAATGGTTTGTGGTGTGTGTGTGTGTGTGTGTGTATTTGTTTTCTTAAGAGGATTTATATATATAAAACAAAACAAAACAAAACAAGGTTGCGAAACCGGTTCCAACGTGTGAGGTCCCGTTTCATGAATATCGCAAGTGATGGCAGGCTCCACGACGGTCGTAAAGCAAGGATTACCGAGAAAGCGTCTCACACATACAATGGCCAGCTTCGGCTCGGGAGGCTCCGGCACAAATACCCCCTCTCGAGGTTTCTGATTTCGCTCCCTCATTGCTGACCAATTTTACTTTTGTTTCTTTCCCAATTCTTGGCAGGACGTCGTCACCAGCATCGCTTTCGGCCACTACGGACGAGAGGACAACACCCTCATCATGACAACCAAAGGTGTGAATGTAAACAAGCTAGGTTTGGGATCCGATCCGGGTTGCTCGCCGGGACTGGAGCTCTTGCCTTCCGAGCTCTCGGACTTGTACTGGAGAATGTCTCTCTCGCCAGAATGTAGATGCTGTTGGCCAAAGATAGTCTCTCATTTGTTCCTTGGCGTGGTTAAGCTGGCTGCTTAAGCCTTTTTGTCACGCATGGGAGCAGAACAGCTAGCCTTCCTTTAACAGATTTCTCTAACAGAGTTGGAAGGGACCTTGTAGGTCATCTAGTCCAACCCCCCACGCCCAAGCAGGAGACCCTACACCATTTCTGACAGAGGGCAGTCCAGTCTCTTCTTGAAAGCCTCCAGGGATGAAGCTCCCACAACTTCCAAAGGCAACTTCTGTTCCATGGGTTGACTGTTCTCACTGTCAGGAAATATCTCCTTATTTCCAGGTTGAATCTCTCCTTGATCAATTTCCACCCATTGTTCCTTGTCTGGCCTTTAGGTGCCTTGGAAAATAGCTTGACCCCTTCCTCCTCTCTGGGGCATCCCCTCAAATATTAGAACACTGCTGTCCTGTCTCCCCTGGTCCTTCTCTTCCCTAGACTAGCCAAGCCCAGTTCCTGCAACTGTTCATCCTATGTTTTAGCCTCCAGTCCCCTCATCATCCTGGTTGCTCTTCATTGCACTCTTTCTAGAGTCTCAACATCAGTCTCTGTGCTGCCTTGCATCCATCCATCCATCCATCCCACTTCCAACTTTTCTATTGTCTCCAGGTGGGGGTCTCATCATCAAGATCTTGAAACGCAACAGCACTTTCCATAAGGGGGATGCCACAGCCGGTGCTCCTGTGACCCAGAGCACCAAACTCAACGTGCCCAAGAAAACAAAACTCTACGTGGACCAGACGCTGCGGGAACGAGAGTGTGGAGTGGGTAAGCAGAACGGGCCAGGAATCCAGTGCACCGTCTCTCAGGTCTATTCTCTACCTTAAAATACTGTTTGGATCTTGACAGGAGAGCAAGCTTGGCATCGAGGGGAAGATGCTAGACTAGAAACTGGGAAATGCTGAGTTCTAATCCCATGTTATGCATGAAAGCTGTTGTGGTTTGCCAGCAACCTGTGCAGAATTGGACAGTGGGGAAGAACAGGGACCAGTCCAGGAGTCTGGGGAGGGCTCGGATGAGGGTCCTGCGTCCGATACAGAGATGGGGCCTGGATCATCTGGGAGTTATGTACTGATTCTAGTCTGGCAACAGTGAGGCAGAGGAACAAGGGGAGCCTGTTCCCAGTAAGCGTGTGCGCAGAACTGCCAGAAGGCAAGAGCAGCTAAGACAAAAGGGGCAACTCAGGAGTAAGGCTTGGAGGTGATTGCCCCTCCCATAAGGTATAAAGGACAGGCAAAAGTAGAGAAACCTTTGCAGGAAGCAAAGTCATTCGCTCTGTTCGGATTAAACCTTGAAGCTATGCGTGGAGTTTGTACTCCATTTGGCTTTTTACAGTTAATTTGACACTACTTGTTGGCAGCAATTCAAAGGAGATAAAGGTGAGTGCTTATCTCGAGGGACTATTTGGGACTCATTTCGGGCTGGGAATGAACATAATTCCCAGCGTTGAAATAAAACGAGCTGTTCGGACTAAGCGTGTGCTTAATTACGGTTTCAGGAAGCCTTGGTCAGAACAAAAGCTCCTGACAATCACCAGGAGACGGGGAGTTCTAGTCCCACCTTACGCATGAAAGCCAGTTTGATGACTTTGGGCCAATCACCAGGAGACACTGAACAGCGCTGACAAGAGTGACTTATGACCATTTTTCACCCTTTGTGACAGTTTTTCAGTCTCCTGGGGTCACGCAATCTCCTTTTGCAACTTTCTGACCAGCATAATCAACCGCTGTGTTACTAACTTAACAACTGCAGTGTTTCGCTTAATAACTCTGGCAAGAAAGGTCATAAAAATGGGACAAAAGTCACTTAACAAATGTCTCCCTTAGCAACAGAAATTTTGAGCTCAGTTGTGGTGGTATGTCATGGTAAGAGGGGGTAAAATCGAAGGGCTCCTTTGCTTGCCTTCCGTTCATCCTCCTCTCTTCTTCCCTTTCCCAGCCATGCACCAAGTCTTTCAGACGGACCTCAGACGCATCCGTCTCACGGCGGCCCGTGCTTACGTCCGGGCGCTGGAGTGCAGTATGGCCCCCATCTCTGAGTCCCTGCAGGAGCCGCTCAAGCTGAACGCCGTGGTGAGTAAACCATTCCAAGACCAGGGAGGAGCTCATGAATGCCCTGGGCTTCAAATGCATCCTAATATTATCAACATTATCCGGGTTTTATGCCTTTGCTTCCATTTGTGTGGCTGGGGAATTCTGGGAGTTGAAGTCCAATGCTTCTTAAAATGTGCTCTTAGAACAATGTTTCTTGAATCTTAGATTCAGATTCAGATTAGATTCAGATTAACAGAGTTGGAAGGTACTTTGTAGGTCATCTAGACCAGGGGTCTCCAACCTTGGCAACTTTAAGCCTGGAGAACTTCAACTCCCAGAATTCCCCAGCCAGCATGCTTTAAGATGCATGGATTTCAACTCCCAGAAGCTTTGCTGCCTGGGGAATTCTGGGAGTTGAAGTCCTCCAGCCTTAAAGTTGCCAAGGTTGGAGACCCCTGGTCTAGACCAACCCCCCCAAGCAGGAGAGACCCTAGATACCCGTGATGCCGAACCTATGGCACGCAAGCCAGAGGTGGCACGCAGAGCCCTCTCAGTGGGTGCACGCGCCATCACCAGCTGCTGTTCTGGTTTCTGGTCAGCTGGACTTGGCAGGCATTGGAGCGCTGGAAAATAGCCTGAAAACCCTTTTTCTGGGCCATTTTCCAGCTGCTTTTCTGGCCCCTTTTCAGGCCTTTTCAGGCTGTTTTTGAGCCATTTTCAGACTATTTTTAGGCCGTATTTCGGGCAAAAAGAAGCCTGAATACCAAACCAAAAACAGCCAAAAACACCCTGAAAATGCCCTGAAAAATGGCATGAAAATGGCCCAAAAAGGCCTGAAAACTGCCCAGAAAACAGCCAAGAAAGGCTGTTTTGACAATGGCCCTCCAAATGGCTTGAAAACGGCCCCCAAAATGGCCACAAACTAGGCCTGCGCGCACCGGCCAGCTGGTCTTCAGTTTTCCGGCGCTCTGGCACATTCCAGTTTGGGCACTTGGTGCCAAAAAGGTTCACCATCACTGCTATATATCATTAAGCTTAGCCACTTCAACTCCCAAAATTCACCAGCCAGCCCTTCCCCTGCCTCCTGGAGAGATTTCACACGCTGGCTGCTTAAGGCTAATTCTTATTTATTTTAAGCAATTAAGTTTAAAGGAATTCAACTTCCAGAGTTCCCCAGCCAGCATGCTTTGAGATGGGTGGACTTCCAATCCCCGCATGCTGGCTAGGGAATTCTGAGCATTGAGCTCCACTCATCTTAAAAACATGCTGGTAGGGGAATTCTGGGAATGGAAGTCGATCCATCTTAAACCAAGCCAGCTAGGGAATTATAACTTAAAGTTGCCACAGTTAAGAAATACCGGGTTTAGATGGTTTTGGTTGCTAGAGGTAAAAAAGATTTGTAAAAAGAGATTAAAAAAATATGTAAAAAGATTTCCAAAAGAAAATATCCATTTAGAACAATTGAAAATATATTCCCCCTCTCTCTGGCACTTCCAGAGTTGATCTTTTGGGCTTAGGAAGAGAAGCTCTCCATTTCGGGGGGTCTCTCTCCTTGCCCCATGTCCTTTGTCCTCATTTCATGCTTCCTCCTCCTCTTCTTTTCCTCCCCCTCCAGGTGCAGGGCATGGGCCCCACTTTCAAACTGTGTCTTAATCTCCAGAACATGTCCGAGAATCGCGCGATAGCAAATCTCCTCGTTTGCTTCATTTACGACGAAAACCATTATTCTGTCGAACGTCCGTTCTTCAAGGTAACACTGCACCCTTCTCTGTTTCCCCCCCCCCCTTCATTTTCCTGGTTGGAGCCGTCCGGGAAGTTTGCAAATGGCAATCATGTGACCCCAGGATACTGCAACTGTCATGAATATACACCCTAGTTGCCAAGCACCTGAATTTTGATCACAGGACAGTAAGGAGGTTGCGACAGTCTTGAACGCAAAAGGACCAGTTGTAAGTAACTTCTTGAGTGCCATTGAAATTTGGGATGAACAGATCAGACATCCAGCCCTTATCAATGGAGACTGAGTGGAGCAAGTGGACAGTTTTAAGTTTAAGTTACCCTAAAAGAGGACCTGACCTGGGGTGCTCACATTACAGCCCAGGTCAAAAGGGCCCAGCAGAGATTATACTACCTGAGACTTCTCAGAAAACAACAACTGAATGGAAAACTGCTGGTGACCTTCTACCGCTGCACCAGAGAGAGTATCTTAACTCACTGCATCTCTGTAGGGTTTGCCAATTGCACAGGGGCAGATAGGACAGCACTCCAGAAGGTGAACGTTATTGCCCAGAGGATCCTGGGTTGCCCTCTCCCCTCTTTGGAAGAGCTTTAGAGCTCCCGCTGCCTTAAGAAAGTTCAGAACATCCTCAAAGATCCATCTCATCCTGGGAACCCTTTTTCTGAACTATTACCATCTGGCAGATGGTACAGGATAATAAAAACAAGGACAAATAGGCTGAAAAACAGCTTCTATCCCAGGGCAGTAGCTCTTTTGAATTCTGCTGTAGAGTGCAGGGTTGGTGCGGTGTCAGGGGTTTCCGGTTCAATGTGTGAAGGGTGAAGGATGTGTGTTTGTGTTTATTTTCATGGTCATGATGTGCACTGAAGATGGTGTTAGATTTCGTTGTATGAGGTGCAATGACAATAAACTAAACTAAACTAAACTAAGTAAATGGTGGTAAGTCGAGGATTACCTGTATGTCTCAGTACAATACAGGTAGTCCTTGACTTATTAACAGTTCATTTAGTGACCATTCAAAGCTACACCATCATTGAAAAAGGGACTTATGACCATTTTTCACACTTCACGACTGTTTGCAGCATCCCTATGGTCACATGATCCAAATTCAGGTGCTTGGTAACTGGCTCATACTTACAACGGTCACAGTGTCCCTGGGTCCCGGGATCCCCTTTTGCAACCTCTTGACAAGCAAAGTCAGTGAGGAAATCCAGATGCACTTAACAAACTGTGTTACTAACTTAACAAATGTAATGATTTGCTTAACAACCGTAGCAAGAAATGTCGTAAAATGGGGCAAGCTCACTTAACAAATGCTTCACTTAGCAACAGAAATTTTGGGCTCAATTGTAAATTGAGAACTACCTGTAATTTGATTCAGGGCGCAGGATATGCTGGACTTCAAATCACCCAGGTCGACTTTAGTCTGTCTTCTGTAAGCTCCAGATCCAGGTGTTGACTATACAGGTAGTCCTCGGTGTTAACGACCGCAGTTGAGCCTGCAACTGTCATAAATACGAGCCAATGGCCAAGTGTGAGAAATGGTCATAAGTCACTTTTTTTCAGTGCTGCTGTAACTTCGAACAGTCGCTAAATGAATGTCGAGGAGTATCTGTATTTATTTCCCCTTTTTTCAATTTTCCTTTCAGGCTCCGATGTTGATCCCGGGACTGAATTATCGTTTAGCCACCTTTGTTGAGTGTCTCAGCGACCAAGCGATCTCGGATGTTATCAAGGTTGGTGACCTTAAGTTGGTTTTTCCCACTGTTCAAGCCCCCAATCCTTTAGTTTAATGCAAGGGTCTTCAAACTTGACAAGTTTAAGGCTTGTGGACTTCAGCTCCTCCAGAATTCCCCCTCCTCCAGTCATGTTAGCTCAGGAATTCTGGGAGTTGAAGTCCACGAGTCTTAAACTTGCCAAGTTTGAAGACCCTTAGTTTAATGAAACTGATAGCAGTCTTCCAATACTTGAGGGGCTGCCCCAAAGAAGAATAGGTCAAGCTATTCTCCAAAGCCCCAGAAGGCAGGACGAGAAACAATGAATGGAAACTAATCAAGGAGAGAAGCAACCTAGAACTAGGGAGGAATTTCCTGACAGTGAGAACAACGAACCAGTGGAACAACTTGCCTCCAGAAATTGTGAATGCTGAAAACAGTGGAAGATTTTAAGAATAGATTTGTTTGGAATGGTTGCAAAAGGTGATCACATGACCTTGGGACACACAGCAGGATCGAACTGCAGGCAGTTGGGCAGAGTTAGCCGGCAACATTGCGTTCTAACCGTCGCAACACCACGCTAACCCGCCAATCACCCTTTCTCCCCCATTCCCCATTTTGCTGTTTGGAGAAATCTGGTATGTTTACCTCGGTACCCCAATTCCCACTGTGGGATCCCACCTGTCTTTCTGTCTTCCAAAACATTGCGGGGTTCCCTTCCTCCAAAGGAAGCAATTCCATACCCCCCTCCCCCCAATTTGGCCTTCAGCTGGGTCTTCTCTCTTTCCCCTGCAGGTGTTTGTGCTCAAGGAGGGCAGCAGCCAGCCGCTGCTCACAGCCCACATTAGCATGCCCGTGAGCGAAGGCTTGGCAGCGACGTGAACCACCTTCTGAGGGGAGACCCGAGCTCATCCATCTCGGCGCAGTCTTTCTTGACCGGCGTGGCGCGGCGACTGGAAACTGGGGAGAGAGAGAGAGAGGAACCGCAATGCTGGAACGAATAGCTTCTTCTCAAATGTAGGAAGAAGATTCCCCGTGTGCTGCTAAGGAGCAACGAGCCACACACAGGGAGAAACCAGGTTAGAATTAGCTACCAAACGGCAGTGTGAGGCTAGGAGGCCAAAACAGCTCAATAAATTATATTTATCCTGCAGCCTAAAAGAAAAGGAGCCGTCCCTGTTTTAACAGGAACAAACGGTTCTGCAAGGGGAAAAAAAAATCCCTTGAACTGTACTTTCCTGGACTTGGTTTAGGACAGGGGTGTCCAAACTTCAACCACTTTTAAGACCCATGGACTTCCAACATCCCAGAATTCCCCAGCCAGACATTCAGTGTCAGAGCTTTGGCTTGGAGCCTGGTTGATATCCCTCCATCAAACCACCGGGGAAAGGAGGTATCAGACTGTTCTGACCCAGGCTTAGCCGAACCAAGAAACAGACTCCTTATCCCGAAAAACCTCTCTTTATTTAGTCACTGTGAATTCATGGCATTCACACACAGAAAAGTCCCGGCAATAATCCTTCAAAGGATTAATTGCAATTTATCAGTCCTTGGATAATTGCCAGGCCCAGAGCTTCCAGTCACAAAGCTGTAAATTAATTCCTGGCAAGGAGTCTCTGAGGCACGAACTAAGCAAATCTTCATAATAATAAGCGAACTATTGTCTCCTGCAACCACCACTCCCCTTTTGCCTCTATTTATTCCCCAAAGAGGAGCCATTCGGCGTCCACGTGTGCCCCTCCTCCTGAGTTGGCCCCTGTTCCTCAGTTGTTCTCCTCTACTGACAGCTCTGTGCATACACACATCTGGAACAGGCTCCAGCTGTTCTTCTTCCCCACTTATCTCCAACTCCAAAGGCAGCTGGGAAAT